GCTTTCAGCAGTAGCACAGTCTAAAATGGGAGATTATCTCACATAAGGGGGAAATAGAGGATGAGATTTAAAGACTCACAAGTTTATGTTATAGTCTGTTGATTCTTGGATATCTATCCCCACAGCAGTAAATGAAAATAGAAAGTACCTGCTGAAAAAGGCATGAAAGCCTCTTGCTTTACAAACTTTCCTTTGGAGTCAAGAAAATGCTCAGGACTGAATGTATCTGGTTTCTTCCACTGAGATTCATCCTGCAGTACAGAGGCCAGTAAGGGGATGATGTAAGTTCCCTGTAAATCAAGTCAGTGGAGTTATTCCATAGGTCAATATGGTCTCTTGACTATAGCTTGGTATAAGCATTTAAGCTACAGTAAGTGAATGATGCTATGGCAAATACTGCCACGGGACTTCCAATGCGATTCAACATTAATCAATGGACCAGGACTTAAAAGGGTCAATCAGCTGAACCGGGACTTTAACGATGTCGCAGAACACAAGAAAAGCAATGCCACAAACTGTTCACCTTTGGAATAAAGTAGCCTTTAAGAGTAACATCCTCAGTAGTTTCATGAGGCAAGTCCATGGGCAGGATATTAGCGAACCTCTGAATTTCATGGACAACTGCATCCGTATACGGCATTTGAGTTCGATGTTCGATTCGTGGCTGGGCTGATCCTATAACTCTTGCGATCTCTTCTTGGACTTTGCCTGAGAAAATATAATAGAGATCAGGATTCAGTTATCTCCAAGCAATGCTGCTATGAATTGTGGCTTTGAGAGGTGCACAAGCGCATGTTAAAGTGCTATTGTAAGCTCTCCAAAATCTGTCTCTTTCCAGAAATAATGGGGTACTGATGATATTAGAGCTTATAAACATTTATTTGTCAATATCAAAACTAAATAGAGAACTTCTGAATACACAGGTAACCTATCCTATTACTTGGCTTGCCAAAGAATAATAGACAGTCATTTAAACTAGAGCTGGTTGCAGAAACTTTGATGGCACATTCTGTTGGAACATGTCCTTCTGTTAAAACTGAAATGCTTCATGAAATCATGTCAATCTGTTGAAATTTTGTTCTGGAAGAAAACTGAGGAAAAGTACATTCTGGCAATGTCAAAAATGGCACATTTTTAACATTTTTTCAGTGAAATATTTTGATTTTTTTTGGTCTGAAACTACTTTTTGTTTAGAAATTTTAATTTTTTTTGCATTACATGACGTTTTATATGATAATATAATACAAAATTAAAATGTCAACTTTTGACATGAAACATTTTGATTTTGTTGAAACAAAATATTTCAATTGCCCCAAAACATTTTTTTTTTAAATTTTCCCCTATGGGGGAATCTCAAAAGCCTTCATGAATGGAACTTCCATCTTTGCACAGTTCTATTTTAACCATCAGAGCACTTACAAACATTAACTAGTTAACTTCCCAACAATCCCGAGATTCATGAGTACTATTATCCTCATTTTCACAGAGGCTGGCAAGGCCACAGTCAGGTTCAGCATTCAGGAGTTCATAGCACCCAGGCCTGTGTCAGACCACTAGATCATGCCCTTCTGTACTTAATCAAACACACGGGAACGGGCTGTGGGCCACTGTGAAATAAAATCTTTACTAATCACAGATCAAACAGTTTTCAATGCCTTTGCACTGAGGCTTCCCTGTTGACTGTCAGTTTCATGCACGAAGGATTTTTCTCGTGGTGTCCTGAAGCAGCCTTCAGGCAAGAAGCCACGAAGTAGAACTGGAAAGGAATGATCCTGTGAATGTCAGAAACAGAGTTCGAGATGTGCAGGCAATGTTTTTGTGTGTGGTGATTATAAGAGCCAAAGAGAAAGGAGTTAAGGGAAGCAACTGAAAAAGCATAAAAATAAAACCAGCAACCAGAAAAAAAATCTTGCTTTATTATAGAACCAAACTCTGGGTCCTCCAGAACATAGGTGGCCAGAGTTTGACCTCACCTCATTGTAATCAGGAGTAACTCCATTGAGACCAGTGGAGCTGTAGTGATGTAAATGAGAGCTGGTGGTGTGTGGTCTATATATGCAAGTCATGCCCAACTTACTGTGCGTTGCCCAAAGAGCTAAAGATGTTAATATGACCCTGTCACTGTTCAACATTAAAGAGTGTTAAGCAAGGTTTGGAATTTGATATACAGAGGCCTTGGCCTGCCTAGTACCATGGCAAACAAATTAGGAAATTCATGCCAATGGTTAAAAGTGTATTGATTGAAATATACAAAAGGGAAAGAATCAAAACAAGGCAAAAACCATTGCAACTAAAATGGAGTGATTATGCAAAACAAAAAATGAAAAGCTGTCAAAGTCTTTTATTTGAGAGAGTGGTTGAATATTGGTTAAAATTTCTTATTCTATCTAACGGTCCTTCTTGGTAGGCACAAACGGATTATTTCTGTTCAATTTTGAGTCGGGAATACATTTGCTTTCCTGCTTTTGACAAGAACACACAGAAACAGAGGGGAGAGAAGAGATAAGATAGGACAGGTGGGGGAAATACAGCTTTTGTTGATGTTCTCGGAATACAGGGCAGTGGGTCAGTCACAGACAGATAGATGCTTTAAGCTGGCAGGTTGGGCCATGACAGCTGTTGCTCTGGACCCCAGCTTGTTTCCCCGACCAGGAACATCATCTGGTTGGTTGGCTAATGTCCCTCTCCTTCTTGGGACAACCAGAGCTGGATGGGTTGTCTCACCTGGTCATGCAGTTGATTTCAGGATCAGGTGAAAAGCGCGCACACACACACACACACACACACACACACACACACACATTGTGTGGGATGGAAAGAGACACAAGAGGGAGGGGAAGACAGAACAAGATCTCACATGTATCGGGTTGGGTCCTTGCTGGGGAAGTGGTGATGGTCAAGCATCCCTACTGGCGTATTAAAGTCTGAGTGTTATGGTAAAAATCCTTCTGCTGCAACCGCGGTGGTTGTAGAAGTTCCTTTTTTAACTTCCCAAGTGTCTTTTTAAGGCCCACCCCAAGAGTGGCGGGTAGAACGGTCCATCCTCTCATTATTTTGTGCACCAATTAGGGCTAATTTCCAAAGTAACAATTTTGATCCATTGATTTCTGGTTCCCTTTTCCTCTTGTTTACTAGTCACGCTCATAACAGTGTCCAGTAGACACCTCCTCCCCCCTGTTTCAATTAATTCCGTTTGTCTCCTTCTTAAATCTTTTCTTAAACAATTGTCTATAACACGTGATTGTGACAATTCATGACCCTTCACCCACTTTCCACGGGGTAGGCTCACAATTCAAGTAGGTCTGTGTGGTCTCAATTATTACAACTGTGTTCACAGTTATGACCATTTAAATTCTGCTCTGAATTGTTCTGCTTTTCAAGAGCAAAATTCTAGTGTAAGTCTGGAGCAATGCTAATGAGTAGAATGGAATAGCTCCGGGTTTACACAGGTGTAACTGAGATCAGAATCTGGCTCTAAGGAAATAAAAGCATAACCCACTGGTAAGTGATTGTTCCATGTCCCACTCTGTGCCTGATCTACTGAGGATATGGATCTGTTACAGCTCTCTGCGGTCAGGCCTGACTCTTTAGCTCTAACGCTGTAGCAGTTTATGCTGTTAGCTCCCCAGCTTCCCTGTTCAACCCTCCTGTGCCAGCCAAGCTAGCGGCTGTCACAAAAGCACTTACTCTGAATTTGGGGGTATTTCATCATTAGCAGAAGTCCCCAGCGCAGCGTGGTGGAAGTGGTCTCCATGCCAGCAATAAACAAGTTTTGCACAAGGCTTATTAAGTTGGCATTATGGAAATATCCATTGGGATTACTTTTCTCCTAAAAAAAAAAAAAAAAAGATGAACACACTAAGAACTCCAGTGGGCAGTTATAATGTAGAGAGCTAAAACATATTTACTAAATAATAAAGTATATAGTAAAAAATAAATGTAAAAGAAC